TCTGCAGCCTGGGAACCAAGGCGGTCTGAAGCCCCTCCTAGTGTGACAGAGATGCTATCCCCACCTGCACACAGACAGCCCAGGGGTTTGAAAGGGACGGAGGAGTCATGGAGCCCACCTCCACCCCAACCAATTCTCCCCCTCAATGAATACCCCTGTACCCTCACTGCTGCCATTCATTCAGCCTTTGCCAAAGCAGGCCCATGACAGGGAAGAACCCCATTTGCCCCTGACTAACATTGGCCAAAGCTAATTCTTTTTGTCCTAGTTACAGGTGATCACAAGTGAGCTCAAGAAGAACGAAACTGACCAGGCTCCTTTCCCCACCCAATACCACCCACCCCAGTGGGCCTCTCCCCTCCCAGGACCACTTTCTCACCTTCCTGTCCACGCCAGACCCAGAGTCCCCTGAGCTCTAGCCCTACCTCTTATCACTGTCCCCGTTTTTGGACAAGAATATGGAGACTCAGGGAGGAGAAAGCACTTGCCCAAGGCCACATTTTCATTTATGCAACAAGTCTTTACAGAAAGTTGACGCCAGGCTGGGTGCTGGGCAGACAGACAGACAGACAGGAGCCTAGAGCAGCCCTGTAAGGCACTGCTGAAGCCCTGCGTTTCCCAAGGAGGGACCCTTGGCTCGGGCCCTTGGGAAATAACGAAAGAGCGAGTAGGAGATTGTCAGGTAGAAGGGGTGAGGCAAGACCTGTTTTGGTTTTTTTTTTTTTCAGTCAAAACCAGGCACTGCCTGATCTAAGCATTTTCAGGGATGGCCGTTCTTTTGATTGGAATCCTTGTGCCTGCTCTCTCCATAGCAACACTTTGCCACATCAAGGTCTCTGGCAAACTGACCTAGTCATCAGAAAGTGGCGTGCTGAGCCAACAATCACAGGGACCAGCCCAAGGAGGCCAGACCCAGTGCCTGAGGTGTTCCCACAGCAGCAACCGGCAGCACCATGAGGCCTGCCCACCACTGGCCTCAGAGGCCAGGTCTCCTCTTCGACCCAGGGTGTGGCCACAGAGCTCTGCAGCCATCTCAGCAGCCACCACCAGTGGCCCCAGTTCCTGGCTCTTTCTTGAAATGGGAAGTGAGCATGCTCCACATGGGAAAGGCCTAGACAGCGTTTCCAAAAGTGGCCTCTGGATCCCCAGGGACGTGCGCTTAAACTGCAGATTCCTGCCTCCTCACACTAGAGTTTGAGAATGACACCCATAGGGCCTCTTGTCCTTCAATTCTCCACTCCCTTCTCCACCCAGACCTGCCCCTCCCACCCCCCCACCCTTGCCCTTCTCAGTTCTCAGTCATCTCTGCCCCAGCACCCAACATGGGCAAGTAATCAGAAAACACGAATGAATCCATACGTTTTTATCTAAGAGATAAGGTAACTTGGCTCCATTCCTAATCCTCAAATGAGTCTTGAGTGAGTTCCTCTCTGTGCCTCAGTTTCCCTTTGGAAAAATGAACCAGCCCTGCACACCTCCTGACCTCCACAGCCACTCCTTCGTGGAAGATTACTATCACACAGTGCTCCCCCTTCCCGAGGAAAACGATCAGAAATGTTAACAGTGGGGAATCCAGAGGTGGCTTTGAGGGAGTTCTTTGTACCATTCTTACAACATCTTTGTGAGTTTTAAATTAATCCAAGATAAAAAGTTAAAAATAGGGGCCGGCCCCGTGGTGTAGTGGTTAAGTGCATGTACTCTGTTGCTGGCGGCCCAGGGTTCGGATTCTGGGCGCGCGCCGACGCACCGCTTGTCAGGCCATGCTGTGGTGGTGTCCCATATAAAAAATAGTGGAGGAAGATGGGCACGGATGTTAGCCCAGGGCCAGTCTTCCTCAGCAAAAAGAGGAGGACTGGCATGGATGTTAGCTCAGGGCTGATCTTCCTCATAAAAAAAAAAATATATATATATATATAAAAAGTTAAAAATAAAAATAGTGAAAATTTAAAGAGAAAGCAAATTGGATTTTAGTAGGTATCCAGAAATGACCTAAGAATTAAGTGTTCTGCGGCAAATCACTTAACTATGGGTAGACACCATATGCATCATCAGCACAGACTAGCAGTGATTTTTAAACTGTTTTTCCTCAGGTGGAGAGCCCACACCCCTCCCAACCTGGTCCCACCTCAGCGCTGGCCACTATGGCTCCTGGAGGAGGACACTGGTCCTGGCTCAACTGACGTCCCTGACAGAGCACCACCTCTGTGCCAGGTGCCAGCTACTTGCAGCTATGCCACAGGTGTTCCTGGCTGCAGCCACCCCTCTGTACAGGTGATCAAGTCCTCCAGAGGTTGTGTGATGTGCTCAGGTTTGCACAACTAGACAGTGGCTGAACCGAGGTTTGAACCCAGTCTAACCTCCGAGTTACAGTAGGCTGTAGAGGCACCTCCCTGTCCCACCACACACCCTACTCTGCTTCACAAGCCCCTGCCAGATCTCTGAACCCTGAAAGTAATGATGCTAACCTTTCCTGAGCATCACGCGGGCATGTGGGTCTCCTGGGTGCGCTGCCCTTGTCCTGGCATCAGCCAGCTCTTTGCGGGCACAGTGGGAATGAATGCAGATCCCAGTGGATCCCAACCATAGGGGCCCAAAGGTCCAGGGTGCCATGTGGGTTGCTGCTCTCCTCTTCCCCTGCCATGGTCCTGTCCCATGCCAGGAGGGCCTGGCAGTGCGGGCAGCCTCAGGGTTCAGGAGGCAGAAAGCAAGCTGGTATTATGCACGAGCTGGCACCTTATAGACTGTGGCTTGAAGCAAGATCCAAACCAAAGGGATAGGTTACCCATGGAGGCTGAATGGCGAAGGAAGAAGGTGGGCTTCCAGCTTCCAGAATGCATTGAGCCCAATTTGGGAGTTTTCTTGACACGAGACTGAGGACAGTTCAGGGACCAGGTGCCCATGCCGACCGCGGCCAGGTCCTGGGCCCACTGCTGGGGGCCTGGAGTCTCTCCCTGCTAGATCTCAGGAGGCTACAGGAGCACTAGACAGAAACAAACGCAGGAGCATAAGGCAGGCTGAAGGAGGCTGAGGTGAAGCGCTGGCTGCTCCTGGGGTCACTGCCCTCAGGTGGGGAGCTCTGTCTGGAATCTGGCCTCAAATTGAGGAGGAAGTGAGGTGGACAATCTCTATGCAGGTGGCAGCTCCTTACTGAGTGGCCTATCTGTCTCCCCAACTAGACTGTGACTCCTTGGGGCAAGGCCTGCATCTGATTTCTCTCCAGGCCCCCACTGCCCAGCTCTGGGTGGAACATACAGGGGCTTAAGAAGAACCGGCTTTTGTCTTTTGGGAACAAGGGGGAGGCTAGACTCAAGCAGCCCCAAAGGATGTGCGGACCTTGACCTGGCAGCTGCTGAGCTTCTCCTCCCGCTTCCAAGCCCTCCTTCTCCAGGAAGCCTTCCCTAAGCCTCCCAACCAGGGCTGCTCCCCTGCTCCAGGCTCACACAGCCCCTTGTGCTTACTCCACTCAGAGCCACAGCACCCAATATGGTCATGGGACACCTCTCTCGCTGACCTGTGATGTCCAGAAGGTGGAAATGAACATATCTGGAGCACCTGCTGTAAGCCTGGCCCTGCGATGGCTACCTTCCATCAGCTCCTCACAGCTGAGTATAGAGCCTCCAGCCAGGCCAGGGCTTTCGAAGGCCAGGCCAGAAAGTCACAAGGGCTAGGGCTGGGAATCGATGGAAGGAGGGGGTAGGGCTGGTGAAGTGTATCTGCTCCTTCCCATCCCAGGGTGGCCCAGGGGTGATGAGGCCAACAGCTGGCCCCTGATCTGTGCATCTGTGTCCTGGCCTCTTGTTTCTAAGTGGTGGGCAGAGCCTCTGAGCTGCCTCTGATTTTTCAGATGAGGCAGTGGAGGCCCTGGGAAGGCAGGATCCCCAGCCTTCCCTCAAAGCTCCATGTGAGCTGCTGAGGAGAAAGCGGGAACCCAGACCGCTCCCCACTGTCCAGGCCTATCAGCCCATGGGACCCTGCCCCCATCCCCAGCTGGGTAACCACGACCAGAAGTTTGAAGGGCCATGAGACGAAGGCAAGACTGGGTCCTGGTGTCAGAGGCCTTGACCATTGCTGAGTAGGGTGCAAGGGGCTCTCTCTTTCAGAGCTCACAGAGTGTAGTCCTGAGATGTGGCTGCATCATCTTCCACAATGTCAAGGATAAGTGCAAACGGCTCAGTGAGAACACAATTCCTACCGCACCTCAGATGTCCCTGGGTGGGAGGCAGCCTGGCATGTCACCCCCTTGGACCAATGGAGCTGCCCAGGTGTCTCCAGCTTGAAAGCAGCCGAGCAGGCAGAGGAGCTGAGCTCTCAGGTGAGGTATCAGTCTGCCTTTCCAAAGAGGACAAGGATCTTGGCTCCCCTGCCCTCATCAGAACAATCCAGCTACAGAGGGCTCACTGCATGCAGATCCCGTCCATCGATAACATCCAGTGACACTTGATTTGGCACCTTCTGTCTGAGGAGCTACCTTCCTGGTGGCCCACCAGGAGACCACCCTGTGCCCAGCACATGCTCATCACAAGCAACCTGCAAACCTCCTGCTTGGGACCCCAGGATGAGCCAGCCTCTGGGTCTCAGTTTTCTCATCTATAACATGGACACGGGTTGAACTAGCTGATCTGAGATTCCCCAATTCTTGCGGCCTGCAATCAACTTTCAGAGCACCCTGGCCCCAGGCCATTTACTAACAATCAAACTCTCTTCCAGAAAGAGTAAGGACGGAGGCACCAAGCCAGCCTTCTCTGCCTCTCCCTGTTAGTCTCTTAGCTCACAGTGAAAACCAGAAAACCAAGTGCACTGCCTTCCCGGTGGAAGCCCAGGAAGGATGCTTGGAGTGGATAAGGATTTTGGATGGGGAAACTGAGACTCCGAGTTGTCCTGGTCACACGGCTGGGCACGGGCCAGTCCACCCCCACCCCCCCCTCACCCCCCGCCCCGCTGCCTCGGTGCCCCCGCTGCCTCTCTGCTGGGCCGCGCCGACGGCGACGCGACAGCCCTACCTGGCACAGATGCCCGGCTCGTGGGGGCGGGCAGAGGGTTGGGTGGGCGGGTGCGGAGTGCGGGCTCCCTCGGGTGGGCAGCGCCTGGCCGGGACTGCCAGCTCGGGGCGCGGGGCGCGGGGCGCGGCGGGGAGCACGCAAGGCAGCGAGGAGGCGAGGACTGGTCTCCACCCACAGGAGAACAAACAGGTTTTCTTGGGCGCCCGCAGCCTCGCCCCTCGCCCCTCCCCTCGGCCGGCCCCCTTCCTCTGCCCTCTCCTGGGGTAGGTAGATGCGCCTGGCACATTCCGCACATTCTCCCGCCAGTGTCCTCGGCCCGCCTGCCCTTTCCCGGCTCCGCCCCGCAGGGCTGCTGGAGAAATCAAGGCCGGGGCTCCCCGCGCCGAGCCCAGAGCGAGCTCCAGAAGCCTCTGCCGCGGTGGAAAACTTCCAGGCAAATTCCTCCGGGCTCGCGGCCCCGGGCCGGGAGGCCTCCGCCACGTGAAGGGCCCCGGCTGCCTAGCTGTGCCCCTGACCGCGCCCGCCCGACGCGATCTGGTCCCCGCTCGGAGCCAATGACTTCCACAGACGCTGCGGGTTAATTCTGTCGAGAACTACTGTTCCTAGATCCATTTTACAGATGGAGATCCCAGACAGGGGTGGGGAGGAGGGAGGGGTGCTGGCGGCTGAGATCATGCAGGAAGTCCCGGAGGCTAGGAAGGAGAAGAAAACGAGGGAGCCCGCTCCCTGGCCGCTGGAAGGCCATCTGAGGGGGACTTAAGAGTTCCCAAGGCACAGCAGTGAGCAACCTGTCAGCAAGCTGGGCCACCTCACTGGCTCGGCGGGGAGACACATCCAGACCCCAAGGGCCGGTGCAGTTTGATGTGTCATTCATTCGTGCTTTTGAGTACTTACGTCATTCAGTCATGCTTACTGAGAACTTGCTAAGTGCAAGGCACTGAGCTAGGGGCTAGGATGGAGGAAGCATCAAAAGAAGCCCTAACTCTGCCTGTGGGGCCAGGGGAAGCCTCCCAGGTGAGGGATGGTTAAGCCAGTTCCAGAGATGGTAACAGGTCCTCCTTCATCAAGTCCTGCCAAGTCTATGTCCCAAAGGGCCCTTCAATCCATTCACTTCTCTCCACGCCCACTGCCACCAGCTATTTTTTGTACCTGGGCCACAGGACCGGCCTCCTGCTGATTTCCCTGCCTCTGGTCTCACCTTCCTTCCCATCCAGCCTCTGCACGGAAATCAGTTTAATAGTTTACACGGTGCTGCCTTGCTTGCAGCTCTTCAATGGTGTCCCATTGCTCTCAGGATAAAAGCCAGACTCTTTAAGGGAGCCCACGGATCAGCTGCAACCACCTCTCTCAGCAGGGCCAGCCACTCTCTCTCGGTTCACTACATTGCAGCCTCTCTGGCCTCTTTCCGCCTTCTGAATACACCACAAGTCCTGTCTCCTTGGGGCATTTGCTCCTGGCACTCAGACTCCCTAAAATGTCCTTTGTCCCCTTGCCTGGCTGGTGAACTCTTAGTTATCCTTCAAAACTTCGCTCAAGCGTCCGTCAATCCTCTCCTGATTGCACGGGCCACCCAGGCAAGTGGATCACTTCCGTCTGCGTGCTCCCCCAGTTCTCTGTGATGGCATCGATCCAGCACAGCGGCCGTCGCCATTTCTTGTTCTAGACAGTGAGCTCCGGGAGGGCATGGAGACCAGCATAGAGGAGCGGAGGGGATTGAGGGGGGATTAAGACTCTGGAAGCTGTCCTTGTCCTTCTCTTCCTGGACTTTGTCAGGTAGAGAGGAAGTGACCCTGTGTCTGCATGAATATGTGTGGTGTAGAGGGGGAGGTTGTGTACAAAGTCACTTCAGTTCATCTCCGTCTCTTGCCCACAAGCATTTTTCTGCTTCCAGTCTGGTGGCCAGCATCTAATGCCTTCTGGTGACACTGCTGGTGGCCATGAATTTGCCTTGGCATCCTGACTCCTAAACATACTTACTATATGACTTAGGGTGTGTTACACCCCATCTCTGGGCCCCCTTCAAGCCCTTCGAGAGTCCCTAGGTTAAAGAGGTAGACTGTAGAGGACACAGTGATGGATTAAATGTAAGGGTGAGGAAGAGGGTGGCCCTTCCCTTCCAAGGCCATCAGTGGGAAAGGGCAAGCTCACTCCCGAGCCCTAAGTCTGGGTAGGCCAGCTAGAGAGCACAGGCAAGAGTGGGGTCCAGAGCTCTTCCCACGCCCTAGGTGATTCAGCCCCTGCCCAGGCCAGATCCACCACAACAGAGCCAGCCAAAGGGACCAGCCTTTCCTCGACTCCTCCCGCCTTGCCAGGCTGCCAGGTCCTGCAGCTGAGCTCGCCTACAAACGGGTTTGACTCGAATGGTAACTGCCCTGCCCTACCTTGCCCTGCCCACCTGTTCACTGCCCCAACAGAACCTACCCCCCCGTCAGGGCCACCCCCAGCCACCTCAGCCAGGCTTCAAGGCCCCTGCCAACTTCATCAGCCTCTTCTTTGACTCCTTGCCCTCAGGCACCTGAACCCAGACACACCAAGTGCTCTCATACCACAGGGCCCCTGCACAAGATGTCCCCTTGGTGGTGACCTTCCTACCCACTCTCAGTCACAACATTGACTCCTTCATAAACTTCTCTTTGGCTTAGAACTTGATGGCCAAAACCCCTGTGGCTGCTGGCTGCCCCCAGATTGGCCTTTAACCCTGCCTGGCCTGAGCTTGGCCCCATCCCTCCCTACTTTCAGCTCTTCTTGTGCCTTGGCGCCTATCTCCATCTCCAAGACTGGCCAGCCCCCAGGCACTGGCAGAGTCCTCCTGAAGGCCCCCAGTCTCCCCACCGACAAGCAGGCCCTCAGCAAGGCTCTGCTCAGAGGATGCAGGTGTTGCCTCTAAGTAGGGAGATAAGAGGCCTGGAAGGTAGAGGCAGGAGTGGGCAGGTGGTGACCCCCTATGCCAAGGGGGGCCATAGTCCATGAGTAGGCAATGGAGACAGAGTCTCTGGGAGGCCAGGTTGAAGCAAGCAGATGAGTAGGTGGGCAGGTGTCTGTTTGGAAAGAATTGGCCAGCAGGGCTCCTAAGCTCCAGGGAGGCCCCATTGTGATCTCCAGCGCTGGGAACAGAACTCAGGCAAGTCAGTCTAGCCAAAGAGTTCCCAGGCGAGGGAGGGGGACAATGGGTGTGCCCTGAAAGCTGTCAGGCCCCAAAACCAATCTAGGCAGAGTGTCCCCACACTGGAGGGGACCGAAGGTGAACAACTGACCCAAACTCTGCCATTGTGCAAATGGGGAAACAGAGGCCCAGAGAGGGATAGCATCTAGCCAGGGCCACACAGCCAGTCTGAGGCAGAGCTGGGACCAAACTCAGGGCTCCACTTGCTCTGGATGTATCCTCTGCCAGGCCGAGGTGCTCAGGTTCACATGTGGAGAGGGCTGGGCTCCTATTTGCACCCTAATCCTCTCCTCCCGTCCCTCCTTCCAGGGCCCCACCCTGCCACCTCATCCTCCTAAGCTCTTTAACCAGTTTCCACTTGCTAGGTGACTCTGATGGCTCCAAGCAGGGTGGGTCCCCTGGGGGCAGGGGTCCCCAGGCATGGCTGCATCCACAGTGGCCCCTACGGAGCCCCAAACCTGCAGGGCCAGGAATCTGAGTCTGTAACCAGCTTTCCAGGTTGCTGGGAGCTGGTCCAACCCCTCAGCACATGGGGTGAGACCCCGCCTGCCTGGTCTTGCCTTTGGGAGCCCCCGACCCACCCTCAGCCCACACTCCTGACTAAGGGGCTGGTCCCCCTCCCTGGTGCACACACATACTGTCATTCACCAAATGCCCCCTTTGGGCTTCCTGTCCCCCACTGCAATGCCACCCCTGCCCCACTCAGGGACCAGTCAGACCCAGTCCTGGCTTGGAGAAGCTCCCAGTCTGGTAGGGAAGGCAGACCACTTCAGCTCCAAGGGACAGAATCCATGCTTGGGGATTTCTTGCTCTGTGGACAGTGGCCCCACTGGGAGCAGGGAGGTCATGCAGGCAGGCCTCTCCCCGGCCACGGTGACATCTCCCACCCCTGCAGCCTGGACTCCTCGCTGCCTTTTGAATCTACTACTTTGAATAAGCCCAGCAAACATTCGGCCATCAGTCTCGGCCTGTGTGACCTGATACCCCAGAACGCAGACAGCCTTTTGTCTCGGGATCTGAAGCAGCCCCAGGCCAGGCCTCCAGAGCACGAGTGCATGAGCCGAGCCAAGGCCTTGCTGGCAGATAATCCCCACATGCCCTGAAGAATGGCTTTTTGCTGCTTTAAGAATCATCCGCAGATCGGAAAAAGAATGTTCTAATTGGAAAACCTCCCCGCCATGGTTTTCCGGAGTTTTAGTACAGTTGGCCAGCAAGGAGGCTCCTGGGATGAGGAGGAAGGGAAGTCATGAGGAGGAAACAGTGAGATCCCTGCCCAGCACCCCTCATCCCCCAAGCTCAGCGGCTCCCGGCAAGAGGCCACGATGAGGGTCCGGGCCTGTCAGCAGCATGGGGGATCCGGAGGCTGTCTGGCCCTGCTGGGAGCCCCTTCCCTGAGCCAGGCCCAAGCCCCACCCTCCAGAGGTCCCGCTGCTGCCCCAGAAGCAGCCCAGGCTCCTGGGACTGATGCCCAGTGGACGTTGTGAACACAGACCCAGAAGAGGAAAGATGTGGAAGACACCACCTGCTCAAGAAACAGGAAGGCCAGAGTTGGTGTTGGGGTCTGTGTGGCACCCCCAGGCCTGACTGGGGCCGCGGGCTGCACCAAAAACTGACTTCTGAACAGCTCGATCTGTCCGGCAACTGAGGGAGCTCTCATGCAGGGGCCCTGCTAGGGTCGGTCTGGCTAAACCACTGGCTGGGGTAGCCGAGGCCACAGCAACCTGAGAATCTGTCCAGCTCCAAGAGCTGCTAATTTGTTCCTTTGGGTTAAGCCTCGCCCTTGCGCTTGGGCAATGTCCACCTGAGAAGAAGCAACACAGGGGATCCCGGAAACTCCTGCACACAGAAGAGCCAGGTCACTGTGACTCACCTCCTGCAGGATATATGCCTCTCTATTAGTCTTTTCCAGAAACCTCCCCAGGTGTTTAGC